TGAAACAATTTCCATAGTATCGAGCAGAGACTGGATACTGAGTACAATTACTCAGTATTTTCGTACTTTTTACTTAAAAATCGTAAGTACAAAGTATACTTTAGAAGTACAAGTAAATTTACTTGTATTTCTCGAATGTACTTATGTACCGATACTTAGTACAAATTGACTTAAGTACAAGTACCAAGTACTGATGTATCGATGATCATATAAATCTTTCTAATGTACTTGGTAATTTTACTTAAGTACATTTGTACTTGAGTACCGGTACTCAGTACAAATGTACTTAAGTAATTGTACTTGAGCAAAATTCCAAAGTACAATTAGTAAGTAAGAAGTATTTTCACTTGTACTTGCTGTACTTGTACTTGTCCAGTCTCTGGTATCGAGCAACATTCTTTGAATAGATCGTTCTCTCTCAAGCGCATTTAAATTCTATATTTCTGTAGAAAATCAAACTTAAATAATTTCATATCTAGTTAACCCACGCAGGCATTAAAAAGTCATTCAATTGGAGTTTCAAGTGAGGAATTCTATTTATTTTGCTTTCTTTTGTGAAAATTATATAAGACTGATGTTTGCAAATTAGAACGTATCTACAATATTAGGCGACCAAAATGAACTTGCTAATTTTGTATCCGCAGAGACATAATATACACAGTAATTTGTTTTTTTTATCATCACGTTATTTTCTTTTTCAGAAGTAAGAATTCAACAAACGAACTGTGATTTTTTCTTTCGGTACAGTAAGTGTACTAGTGGGCAAATGATTTCGAAAAGGTCTTTAGAATGTATTTTTATCGAAGTACTTTTTGTTTTTCGTACAACATAAAAATCTGAATGATGGAGGGTGAGACATGATTCGATCTCATCACTGTTTTCTTGCAGATATGAAACTAATTTTCATATAGATAGTGTCATTCTATTTCTTTTATTGTTGCTTGTAACAGTTATTCGATTGTTGGCCTATAGAATCTAATCTAGTCACTTATTTGACTTTGACACAAATCCATGTGTGCATTTTTTCCCGACTACAACCCATAGAAATTTTCATGAAGCACCTTTTGCTAATTGCATTACGTATCGACAGACAAAGATTAGAAAGACGAGATTTTTAGCTAAACTAATGTAGTTTTTGTCTGACGTTGAAAGCGCTGAGTTTTCTGTCATTAAAAGATAGAAAAAATGAACTTGTCTAAATTAATTATTATGAACCTAGCAAAATACTGTTTTTGACATCGACTCAAAAAATAGTTTTTTTCACAATCTGAATGCTAGTATTTATTAATCTATTTAAGACTGAATAAAAATGAATTGGCTATCATTTAAGCGGTCAGTAGAATAAGTAAAATGATCAGTACCTTATTTGTGTGGTCAGTTATTAATATACTTCGATTCCCAGGTGACCAAAAGACTAGTAAAAAGACTAGTCTTTTTTCTAGACAAGTCGGCCGTCCAGTCTAGTCTTTTTCTCAAAATGTCCTAGTACAGGACTAGTCTGAAATCTCGTATAGTCCATAGTGCCCGTCCGGACTATGAAAGTGACTGGAGTCATTCTATTTGTCATGCGTAGTCTTTTTCGAAAAAAAGTCTAGACATGCTGCACCATCCTGACGCCCGTCAAAAATATGATTCTAAATAAAAGTAAGAGCGTCCATGACCCTTTACATGACGAGTTGTGGTCTTATATAATGACGAGATCCTGACTAGTCTAAACTGAAATATTTTATGACTACAACTAGATTCGAACACACATACCAACTATTACTTACCCACCGTTCAGACCATTGAGCCATTTGATCGAGAGATCAATTTATCAGTATTTCTAGTCATTCTAAGATGCTTTAAAATACGGATTTTTTCTAAGTTTTATTCAATTTTTCATATGAATAAAAAATATTTTTTTACAAATTCAAAAATTATTCAGACGAAATTGAATAAAATAAATTGAAACCTGTGGTTATTTTATCTCATGTTTTTGTCTTGTTTTAGTCATTAATTTAGCAATTCAGCAGGACATTTTATTCAACAATTTTTTTCCTTCTAATATTTATTTAGATAATTCAGAATTCGGACTGACGGTGTACTTAAAAAATAGAATAATCTTTACGAACATACAACAGTTTATATTAGCCTAGGAACAGTCCTTCTAGCTACCATTAAAGGCATTTTCGGGTAGTGAGAATCAGTTTCCATCAAGTGATTTCTGCACGCATGGTATATGGAAGACACCCATTTGCGTTTTAGAATATATACATAGACATAAGGTTTACTGTATTATGGACTGCCGTCAAGACGCCAGTCTGATTTTTAATAGTATTATAAGTGTCTCTAATGTTCAAATATAACTTTCTTCTCCCTTTTTTACAATATTTTCCTTTGCTATGGGCTAGTTCAGGTGGGGATAAATGAATAAACAGACCAGTCTAGACGGGTTAAAGGACATACGAACTAGTCAGAACATAATGCTCTGTAATATCTTGGACCAGTCTAGGCGGGTAAAAGGACATACCGACTAGTTACAATGATGCTTTAGAATATATTGGACTAGTCTAGGCGGATAAAAGGACAAACGGACTCGTCAGAACGATTCTCTGGGATAGCTTGAACTAGTCCAGACGGGTAAAAGGACATACTGACTAGCCACAATAGATATGGAAGACGTATTAGACTAGACTTGACGGGTATAGCAGACTTTTTGGACTAGCCATGTCGCCCGTCCTCCCTATTTTTTTGCTCACTTGGGAGACGAATCAACCAGCGAAAATGGTATGCCTTAAAAGGGACAAAAACGGTAGAAAACATTGAAATACTGGACTTCATGTTTATGACGAAGAGATAAAAGCAAGCACACCTCTAAATAGTTGAACGAAGAAACGAGAAATAAAATGGGAATAAAATAACACAAATTAATGTTTTTTGAAGAAGTACTATCGTCGTTCATTATGAATGTACAATCTTACCAGTCAGTCTTAGAAGCAATACGGGGGAAAAGTCTGTTAAGTTTATCGAACTCGTAATGAAAATAAATTGGTGAAATCATCCAATTTGGAAGTAGGAGAAAGACTTTTCGAGATCTTTTCGTAGGAGGGAAATTAGAAAATGCCAGAGAGCATTTAGATGTTAGATTCGATCAGAAGCTTTCAAAATTTGTCAGTATTACAAAAGATTTCGATTTGAAGAACAGAAGAATAGTGTAGAAGTTGATCATTTTAACCGCATACAATCTGATTTCATCTATTGCTGGATAGGACTGTAATACTATAATCCTAACTACGAAAAGGTTTCCAAAAATTGAAAGAGCTTAATTTTTTTATGTCTTTGTCAATTTAAAAATACTTAGTTGTAGTTCTCTTCGAATCTGGAGAAAAGTTGTCTTCAATTCTGAGGCTACGTGTTGCGAATCATTTTCTTCCCTTTGGTAGACATCTATAAGCTAAAACCTCCTTTGAGCTTCTAGTTAAAGAAACTTGTAGTCTTTTGTTTTATGAATTTAGAAGTTTGTGGTTGTATCGTTCTTTAATTTGTAAATATTTGATCAAATCCTAGCAACTATTTCATTGATGCAGTAGCAATAGAATTCCTTAACGCTGGATTATTTTTTTGGGATAAATTGGGGATTTCTTGTAATACCTTGCATTTTCGCTTACAAAAGAGTTAAAAAATTTCGAAAAAAATTTTCTCATTTTGACGGAAGTCAGTTCGTAACTCATATGACTCATAAAACTGTCAGTGACCAAATGACCTCATCGATGGAGATCATAATCATGTTAAGTTCCCATTGATGTGAAGATGCCAATAAAGGAAAGCTAATTTTGATTATCCGGAGAATAGTTAAATAATACATGAAAATTGAAAAATCTTCAGTTTTTCTTATGCTGACAGTCAAATTGCTCATAATATAAAATAACTAAGTTCATCAAGTTAAACTTTAGATATCCACATAGTGACATAGCATAAAAATAACTACAGGCGTTCGATTCGAAATAAGAATTGAGGATGATTGAGGATAATGATCTAAAAAGTTTACCTCCTTCTTGAATAGTTGTTGCCGTTGTAGTTGTAGTCATAGTTGCAGTCGTAGTCGTAGTCGTAATCGTAGTCGTAGTGGTAGTTGTAGTGGTAGGCGTAGTCGTAGTCGTAGTTGCAGTTGTAGTTGTAGGTGTAGTCGTAGTTGCAGTCGTAGTTGTATTTGTACTGTTCGTCACTATACATTATCATAAAACACATGTTTAACCACAGCAGATAGTGCAACGCTTAACATAGTAGAGACTAGTTTTGAGGTGATGTTTGAATACATCACTTACACCGTCACACATCTCACTAGCTACTACGGAGCTCAAATTCTTTACGTTCTGGAAAAAGCATTGTCAAGAATTGGAAATATTCAAGTATAGCCTGTAGAATAATTTGCAGTAGTGAATCTGACCAGCGTAGAATGCATTGTCAACTTATTAGTCTCTTTTTCTACTAGATGAGTTAGTCTTAGTACTCGAGTAAATGCGTAAGTTACATAAGCGGTGAACTTTGTGATTATCAGTGGCTCAGTTCGTTACGAAATCACTAAAAGGATTCTCAGTTGTTTCAGTTATTAAGCCACAGAACTGTATGAAAAGTATTGATTTTCGCATCCTGAATCAATGGAGACAAGGAAGTCAAAATACCGCTAAATAAACTTAATGCCTACAACGTTTAGCATTGATATATATATATTCTTAAGGCTCACAGCGTAAAATGCATTTTAGGAAATGAATCAAATTTTGCGATCACCTTTTCTCTCCGGTCCTCGAACCATGCTCATACGCTACGTATGTGGTATCGTATCAGTATTTATATCTAGGTCAAAGACTACATACAATGTTAGCGAATAATTTCCACATGAGAAAATACAAGACATTTTCTTAAATAATTGCATTTCCACCAAGTCGGGTAGCTGCCTCAAAAGCTCTGCCTTTATTCCTCCCTATTTTTATATCCAAGAAAAGTTTGCTTCACTTTTGACCTTCGCAATTACTATAAGTTCTCTTACTGTTCATACATGGACAAATTCGTCGATCTTTCATAGATACCGGATAACAAATAGAGCCATTAAGACATCGAGATTGATGAATACATTGATGTTCAGTTTCATTGCAAGACTTGCTTGACATATTAGATTCGATTAGCTGAGAACAAACCACCCATCGAAAGGCACACACGCCTGAATCAGTAGTATTGGTCAGGTTGAAACAACTACACGCACTATTTTGCGAACAAGAGCCATTTTTAGACTTCGGATCACATTGCTGAAGTTCAGCTCGAACAATGGATAAACTAAATTAATTGAAGAAGATCATAATAACAAAACCAGAGTAACATTTGTAAGACTTGAAAAGAAAGGTTCTCAACTGAAGCTGAATAGAAAAATAAAATTGTTTTAGAATTACCCGAGTATAATGAACACAACACAATTTACTATCATCATTGCCATTGCTTGTGTTGAAATGAGAAAGAATATTGACGTTAGACACTTTCATAGATAATCAGTAATGAACCGGAAATAAAAACATAAAAAGCATGAGTTTCACAAAATAGAAATTTGATATTGTTTCAATACTTTATTTTCAGAATTTTATTTTTCTCTAAAAAAATGATTATTATAGTTTTTAAGGGGTGACTTGCAGATCTAACGCTGATCTGAAATGGAAAGAGGAATTTTCTCAAACATATGTATATTTTCACTATAGGTAAGCTTAGAAAATTTACCACTGCTGCCACCTTTAGATGTTCGAAAAGCAGAAAGTGTGTTTGTGACAGATAACTATTTTAAACATTTTATCTTAGTGTGATAATAAGAATTTTTACCTAAGATTTTCATCTTTATTGTACAAAAACAAGAGAAAGCACTAATTAAACAAGGAAATAGAATTATCGAGTACATATTATTTTGATGTTACTGGGTCCAACGGCGGCGGAACGATTTCAATCTAGGGGAGGCTCAAATGTTTTTTCAGAGAATGAGAATGATTAGTGGTGAAATTAAAAACAAAAAAAAATCTAGTACTAATAGGTGGTCTGTTGATAATTTATTCCTGATTCTACTTTTCTCAAAACTTGTAAAATAATGAAAAATATTACTGTAATATTTTTCAGAACATGATCAATAAGAACACAAAAATCCTAAAACGGCCTAGCCAGGCATCAGTCACCCTCGCATGGGGAAGATTCGATTTTTTTCTCGAATCCATCAAATGTGGAAAGTACTTGATTTCACGCAGTTTTTTGCGTTGATTATGAATCTCTGTTCAAAAATAATTTACAGCTACATTATCATGATGAAAATCCAAATTTTAAAATATTTCTCCTTAAAATTTGATTTCTGACTTATGAATTTTTCTTAGAAATCCTGAAAACTACCTTATCTGATAGAAAATCGAATTCTCTAGAAATCCCAATCGTTGCTGCTTTCATTGGGTGAAAATGTTTTTTTTGATATTTTGAAAAAATATTTAGGCTGCTTTGTTGCCAGAAGTTTTATACTCGGTTAATCTAATTTTGAAACATTATTTTTAAGGGTATCAGGCAGAGAAAACCTCAAACTACTGAACTATGTGGAAACCATAAAGTTTTGAGCGAAAATGTCACTGAAAAAATAAGCACGAAACTATCCCCAGGAAATCCTGAAAAATTGGGAAATTCCGTAACGTATGCAACGCCGAAAACGAATTTCAGGAGAGTAGAGCAAACAAAAATAAAGATAAAAAACACTAAATACAACCAAAAAAACCATTTTCTACTGATCACCCTAGCATACATTTTAAAAATTCATGCGATACTTGTCACCAATCAAGATTCTTCGTTGTATTTGCTTTTTGTTAATCTTCATGAGCAATAGACTAAGTATTAAAGAACAATCCATCGAAATTTTGCCAATCGTGTCTACTTTAAAGATGAGATGTACAACTTTTTTCAAATTAAATGAGCCTCCCCAAGCATAATGGGTCCGCCGCCTATGCTCCTAGCTAAAAAATACTACGGATCTAAAATTATTTTTCACATACGTCTCAGCGACACATTCCTTCGATGCTACTCGCAACTTGCTGTGAGAGAGCTTTCGAACTGAGACTTTCACGGAAATAGATTTAGGTGCTACATATTGAAGATTCCAGCTAACTGCATTTCCTTCACGGTTTCCTTCTCTCCAATCTCTCACTATGTAACAAACGCTTTTAAAGGGACTCACGACAAACCCTTGAAGACGAAATTTGCAGCACCTAGTTTTAAACGAGAACGCTGAGGATTTGAGACAGTGTCAGAAACACGTCAAATTACTCCAAGTGTGGGTGCCAGAAAAGACACAAGTGTGGCACACAAGCTAACCCACACCCCGAACTGTTTAACTTATAAAAAGGAAATCTTTTGCCGGGGTTGCGGGAAAACAGGAAAGTGGTTTTTTTTGCATTTATATTCGAAGTCGAATTAGGCAGCTACTCATATTGGTACATCTAGCATTCTCTGCCACAATAAGTAATGCTCTGAATTCGAAAGTAGACGTTACTGTTAGAGGTCGAGGTCAAGGTTTGAGTCCCTCTCCATGCTAGACACATAATTGCTACGCGAATATCAAAGCAGTTCAATTATTCTCAAATGAACACATGTATAATTCGGTAGAGCTTATATTTTAAGGGTGTGAGTGTAATACTTATTTACAGCTATAGTCTTACCTTCTAACACAATCAAAGAGACAAATCGTTCCACTCTCGAATCTATTCGATTGAAACTCGAGATTCCCATGCAATAAATGGTTTCTGAATATGAAATTGAATTCATTGAACGGTGAAGCATCAGTGATTCAAGCTTCATCCCATACATTATTATTATTACTCGAATGTACTACTGACACAGTGAACGTTTCATAGTACTGTATTTAATTGATGAAGACTAGCCATGCATGTGAGTTGAACATGAACTAATACTGTTCAACTTGATGAATATCTTCATTTCAGGGGATAGCAACGATCACATTAACAGAGACTGATACGTTTATTCGTGCCTTGTCGTTTGTCTGAACAAAGTACCACAAAATGAATTGGATTTTCGATCGTGATAATTCATTATTGCGATAAAAATGTTGAAACGTTTCATTGTATCACTATTCCCTATATGAGTACGCTTTAACAAAACGAAGCTCATGTTTCACTATGTACCACATCTGCCTCAAGACGATTCAAAGGAAAAAATAAAATAAAAATGTTCTCAATGATTTTCTGTTCTATTTCAGGCAAGAATGTGCAGTGATAATGACAAAATTTAGATTTTCTAATTCTTCATGGCGACTAAATCTGAGTAAAAATAGTAATAGATGGTGAATCAGCAGAAAGAGCAAATGATGCGTGACGAACAATCATTCAGTCGATGGTCAAATGCTTCAGTATGTAATGCGCATGGCTTGTGTGCTTTCTGACTAAATTATATTGCAACGACTTCGTCAAATATTTCACGAAGATTGCACTATTACTGTCGACGTATAAATCATTGTAAATCTCTATCTGAGAAAAAAAGCAATGTGCTTTACTTTCTGCGTGCACAAAATGAATAAGAGTTAATAGCATAAGTGTGAAATAAAACATCTGTACGAACCCTTTTATCACTAAGATATATTAATTTGTTTTAGCTAGAAATAGCGTGGTGAATATAAAAGAATGAAATTACTCTCTGTATACTTTATTGTTGGCTGTTTTTTGTATGATTTTTTGAATGGTTTCAATTGTCCTAATCAAAATAATGGAATGTATTCCAATATTAATGACTCTCACTCATTTTGGTATTGTGTATATGGGCAAGCATACTTAAAACCTTGTCCACAGTCATTCATATGGTCACAAGAACGACGAAAATGCGAGAAGAAACGTAAAAGCTTGAGTGGGGTTATCGCATGAGATATGCTCTTTCTCCAGAAGAAAACAGCTGATTAACATTTAAAGAAAGCTAAAGTGGATATATTCATAGTCTCCTCTTACTTTGCAAATATATAGTGATACGGAACCTTGGCTAGAAAGAAGAATTGTCTTGTTTAAATCTGATTGACTAAGAGATTCATTTATTACGGATGATACCTTTAGCGTAGTTATTTTATCTTTTAAAGTGACACTATGAAGTGTCATACGTTGTTTCGATCTCCTGGAATCACCTAATTATTTTGTATTTTCTCTATATTTTCCAACTAAGAATGTGAATCTATAGAAGGAACGCGCGAAGGAACAAATGCTAACAGGTATGTAAAGAATCTTTTCTAAGGAAATCTTCTAGAAAAAAGAGTAAAATACAGATGAAATCTGATATTTTCACTGCAAAAAAATGAAAATTCTCGTTTATTGGGCGTTTACACTAACCCTACTTTCACAGAGTTTGAGTATGCATCATAACATTTTGGTATGAACGCTTATTTTAATCGGGTTATTTTTTTTGAGCTTAGAAGATTGAAAGCTAAATGGGCAACGTTTCATATGATTCGTTCTCAAATCAGGAGTAGAGTCCTACATGCTCATTCTTTGTCTTCATACTATTGTGTGGTGAAATATCAAAACGTCACAGAAACATAAATATTGATATCTCGTCACATTATTACGATGACTTTCTGTTTCTAATAGAATAACAGAAGAGATCAGATTACTATAGCTTAATGACCGAAATTATTCGACTAAACTAAGCATATTTGTTATTAGCGGCGGACCTTTTGATATTTTCTCTAGTTCCAACGTCAACAACATCGTTACCAGCCACAGGTACGACTACGACTACGACCACATTTATGACTACAACTACGACTACTGTTCCAATAGTTAGTAAGTTTATTTTAATTTTCGATAGTTTCAATGTACTGTGTTGAAGATTGTCCTAGATTAATAACATTTGATAATATTCCCGGCGCTGGCCGTTCTCAACAACCCTTGCCCAATGGGTTCTCTGGTTTTCAATGGGTGAATGCTAACTATATGAATGTCTCTTACTACGAAGAGGTTAATGGTTGGTCGGGTTATTCCGCTGCTCTCTCGAGTGGTCAATATGTTGGACTCAATAAGGATGGTAAAATGTTATCTATGATCATAAATGCAGCCAAAAGTTTCACTCTGAAATCGATGATAGTAGCATCAGCATGGAACGATAATCTCACATTAGAAATAACGGGTAAACGGGGTGGAAGTGTATTCAAATCGCAACGGTTTACACTGCAATTACAACAACAATCAATAGAACTTAACTGGCCAAACTTGGAAATCATTAATTTCTTGTCTTATGGAGATGAACCAAATTCTGATATAAAAGGGAATGGACCAGAGTTTGCCCTTGATAATTTGTGCGTGGAATTTCTCAAATAAAATAACAGTCGAAAGATTTCTGCTGATTCGCTAAGAATTGATTGGAGAACGAAAACTATGTTCGAACTATAGAAGTAAGAAAATTAAGAAGGCGTTCAAAATTGTGAAGGCTAGGTTGTGAATGAGCATGATTCATACAAAAGCTGGCACTCACATCTTGCAACGTGTATTCTAGTAAACGTTTTCACATCCCGCACTTTCAAACGGCATTCTTGCATTCAAGATAAAACATCATCAACCAAAACCAAAACCAAATTCTGATTATTTAGTAGTTAGCAGTAAACTTAAAATAATTGAGAAATCGAATTCGAACCCAACTGATGATGATTAACTAAGCAACAATCGAAATGCATTCTAAAGTAGCTTTTAATTCATATTTCACCTTTGTAATTACATAAATGTGATTCAGCGCAATGTCATCGATTCTATACTAGAGTAGAGAAAAAAGGTGTATTAATAGAAAAATAATACTTTTATGGATTGATTCATAATCGGCGTCATGTACAGACAATAAAATGAACGCATACTATAAATACAGATCATTTTTGTGCATTGAACCCATTAAAGCAAAACTTCTCGTAAGTGATTATTCTGAATTGTCATTCTACGCAAACGATGTACAGTCAAAATCAATATAATGGTAAACGTGTCATGTTTTCTTACCACTGGGGCGATCAACCTTTGGTTTCGAAGATTTATGACTGCTTAACGTCAAAAAATATTCCCATTTGGATGGATATCAAAGGAGACATAAAAACTAATTTGTATGAAAGGTAATATGTCAAGACTTATTTTAAAAACTTTAATAGGAGAAATTCATTTTCACATAAAGAAAGAATGGTACACGAAATAGATTTTCTTATTAATAAGAATGAAAAGAGAACGAGATTGTAAGGTTGAACATCAACACCATTGCACTATATGGGTTAGAGTAATACTTGTGGTCACACTTTCCTGTTCATTTTTTTAAGTAATGTGACAGTCAGCACTGCTCGGACTAGAAAATCTCATCAGTTGCCTTCTTTCGACTTCAGTGATAGCTTACCTATGAATCGGGTATAATATATATATATATATATCGTTTTTCGTGAATAGTGAAGCATTATTGAAAGCTTTATGGCCTGAAAAGAGTTACTTCAAAGCTCCTTCATTTTCTTACGGAAATTATTCTAGTTGAGCTCTCTATACACCCTTAGTTTGAAAAAATGTAGCCTTTTTTCATCTCTGAATAACACTGATAGTCATCTGTTAATGAGTGGAGCAAATATTGGCATGGTATAGCATATAGATGAGTTAACATGACTATGTCCATGATTAATTGAATCATTACTCTGAAGATTTGTCATTGCTTTCGTTCTCAATTGATATTTTTAATATTCGATTTTCAGAAAAAAAATACACTCAATATGAATAGATTAGGGTTCCTTTTGATTTTCGAGAGTTGATCTACTAAATTCATCAATAAGAAGAATAATCATTAGCTCCTGTTGACTTTGCAAGCAATTTCACTATTTTCATCCAATCATAAATGTAAACAGATTTGATGCTAACTACATACTGTACGGAAAAGTTAACCGTTGATACTCTCTCATCGCTCATTATGCATGCATTCAGCCAGATTTGTTCTTGAAAATTACGAGAAAAAATGCAAACATTTTTCGTATTTTTCTTGGACAAATAGGAACAATCGCAGTTAACTTTATGTCTTTCTAATTATTTATCGCTCAGTATTCTGTTGTAAGTATATATGAGTTGATTTGGAAAAAAAACGTGAATGAAGACTCGTCGGAAGTGAAAATGACGCTTAATATTCACTTCAAATAGTTCGGATTTCAATCAGTTGTCGATACAGTAAAAAGGAAGTTAATTCTCATTTCTTTAAACATTCGCTTTTATTTCAGGTATTATATCCTTACATACCGAACATATATTTCGTGTTTCTAGTATGGTCTTAGCCGTTCAAGAAGCAGCTGTTGTCATCTGTTTTATGACTCCAAAATATCAAGATTATCCAGCTTGTAAAAACGAATTGCAATATGCCACTGTTCTGCGAAAACCGGTGATTCCATGTTTGTTAACGCCCGATTGGCAGCAAAGTGATCGGCTTGGTTTCATAACAGCTGGTTTGATTTGGCTCGATTTTCGTGACCTATCAGAAGATAATTTGGAAAATAAATTACAACGTATGATTGAATTCATTCATATTCTTTCAAACGATGCGTTCAAAGCTGATTCACAAAAGCCGGAGTGGTTAGTAGTAAAGAAAAAAATATTAATATTGCCGTTCTCTATCGATATATAATGGTTTATTAGTCGAAAAAATAATTTCACAAGAACAACAGACAATTCACATGGTTTTAATTGGTCGAGTCGGTTCTGGTATATAGAGCGTGACATTGCATTAGAAAACGAGGTTAATTCACTTCTTTGTTTCACAGGTAAAAGTTCACTTGGTAATACCATTTTGGGTGAAAAACAGTTTGATGTATCTGTGCCATGTTATTCCACCATCGGTGACAAATGTAAAGTTGGATTTCGTTATCTTCATCAACAATAAACGAATCTCGTTGTTATTGATACACGTGGTTTTATTGCTAATGAAAATGATATTAAACGATCCATTCAAATACCTATTGTTAAAGGAGCTTTTGCAATATTACTAGCATTGTCGTTAGAGCTGGGCCTTACTAATCAAGAAGAAAAAACATAATTGACACATTAGCAGACATATGGTGAACAAATATTTCAATATATTATTGTTGGTTTCGTTTGCTTAGACAAAAATCGATGGCGATCTTCAAATATTCATTCATCAATTGAACGCAGTTAATTTTTATTTAGGACGAAGTGAGCCTAGTCAAAGATTATTAAAATTCGTACTTATGCATCATCAATCCTCCCCCTCCTATTGTACTGCATTGTCGAAGGAATCTCGCTGCATTCGATATTTCACTCTCAAATGCCACATATACGCAGAAGTTTGGGATATTTTCTTCTTGCCTCTTGCAGATATGATAAAACATGATGCCGATATGGGTCATTGATAATTGAAGATGCTGTGAGACGACAAGCAGATATTCAAATATTTTGAAGAGAAAGCGATAAATTAAAAAGAAATCTTTCAGTATATCGCATTGTAACAACGAATGCTTCCTAATAGTCTGTTTTATTGTTGAATTTACGTAGTCATAAATGTAGAAGATTTCACGAGTATTCTAACGTCAATGAGGAGGTAGTGTACTATAGGAAATCTTAATTTCTTGTACATTTATTGGTACCCGTAGATGGATTACCTGATATTTGTATATTCGAATATCCATCGACATCGAAACCAACGAAAATACGTGGAATTGCACAGATCGCTACGTTAAAAAAATTATTCTGAACCATATTTTTCATGTTGTGCTATTGAAAGATTTCTCAATAAAAATCTTTTCACAAATATTCAGTGATCCCTTGAATAATATACATTTCCATTGATACTTTAACATTGTTTACTGTTCACTGTTTCGTTGATCAAAATCGAACAATATATTCAAACAATTATTTATCTTTGTTTTTACCACATATAATTCGCTGTTTAAGACAAATTGTGTTTGAAGAACATCAATTCTTTCAGTTTCCTTCTTCAAACGATAGCCGAATTGCTTTATAACAGTTGAAAATACTTCGATTTCATGCTTATTCACAATGAACAACAATGTCTCTCGCATCCAATTCGAAGCACAACATCGGATTGAATGAATCATTATAAAGCAAGATTTGCTTTCTATAGATCGAATAACATTTCTTCATAATTATCATCGATGGATTGTCTCACAAGCGAACATTTATTCACAATCGTTACTTTTCGATTACATCAACAACAAGAATAATAATATGCGAGGCAAATTGTTTTTGTCACTTGCAAAAGATAAAAGCTAACGGGTAGAGACCGTTCTATTATTTGTTTGCTCTTGTCAAACATGCAGCGTAGAACTCAGTGAAAAAGATAAACTACTATTAGATATTTATGAAGAGGCCTTCTCAAGAAACGTTTTTGGCTATTGTAAAATAGTCAAATATCGATACTTTGATCGCCGATTGATTCATTTTTGTCTTCTAAATTTTAAGAGACGAGTTAGCATACTATGGCGCTATGTTTTGAGCCTCATCGGTCTGAAACCATTTTTCGCTCACAATTTACGATAGAATAATTCTTATCGACTATAATGCAGAAGACATACATTAAAGTAGAAGGGTAATGATCAATTGACTTAGTTTTAAAGCACATATCCGAAAGAGATCGAGTATAGTATTTTATATTTCCGATTTAACATGCATGAAAAGGAATAAATCTCTATACCTACGTTATAGTTTCATACGAAGAAGTCACTTTATTATTTACTAACGCGTCTATTTTAGATTAATCCATTCTGCCCTTGTATTGTTAATATTCATTGGAAAGGAACAAGAACTAACACATATATATATATATATTATTGGACATCGTTATTCAATATAAAACGTTTTACTGTTAATTTATTACAGGAAAAAAGCTACATGTTGTTTTGGCTTATAATATTGATTATTTTAGGAATTATTTCGTATATGATTTACAAGAAATACAGAAAGTCAGTGAACTTTGCTTCAGATGCCCCTCAACAATATGAAGATGCCATTATTATCGGGGGCAGCATTGGAGGAATCGTAACTGCTGCTTACCTATCAAAATACTTCAAACGAATAACAATTATCGAATCAGACGATGTACTAAATGATACATTCATGAAATCTTCACCCGGTGAAATATTAAACTATCGTTGTTGTCTTCAAAGTCCAACATCCCTTGGACGTTCAGGTGTTAGTCAAATATATCAGGGACATGTACTTGAAGGTGAAGGAAGTAAGATTCTATTCGAATTATTTCCTCAACTAAAAGAAAAGTTATTAACTGAATATGGTGCTCGTATTCATTCAATAAAAACCGAATCACGACTCTCTGCCAGTGGTGTATTATTAAATCAAAATTTAACCAAAGATTTTTACTGGTTGGGTGTTGATCGTTTTACATTAGAAATAGTATTAAGAAAAGAACTATGCTTACAACTTGGAAAGAAACTTGAATGGAAATGTAATTCGAGAGTAATACAACTAATCGTAGATCCATCATTAATTATTGTAAAAGGTATAAAATATCGACTTAAGCAAAATATTGGCTCATCGCCATTGAGTATGTATGGTGATTTTATTATTGATTGTACTGGTCGCCATACATCATCAGCCAGATGGTTAAAAGAGAGTTTCAATTTAACCTTGCCGACTGTGCAAATAGATTTTGGCTCTGGCTATCTTACATTTATTGGTGAAAGATTTAGAACTGGAGATCTATCGTTAGATTCAATGCCTATTGTTGGTTGTACAACTAATTCTCCCGATAATAATACAGGATGTTATATAACTCCAATAAGTACAATAAAAACTGAAGATAAAAATTCATTAGGAGCTTTGTCGGTAATTGCGTTTCATAGCGTTAATTCAGAATGTCCACCAAATGATTCCTACGAAAATTTATTGGATTGGACAAAAGAACATCTGAATTCAGATTATTATACAATATTAAAATCAACAAAAGTATATAGCCCATTAGTGCCGTATCGTCATGCGATCGATGATCGAAAGTATGCTGAATTATTAGGTAAAGAATGGCCGCGAAATTATATATTATTAGGTGATGCGATGTGTACTTTCAATCCTCAATATGGGCAAGGTATGACACATGCATGTAGACATGCAAGAGAATTAGAGAAAATATTCGATGGTAATTGTCATAAGTTAAAAGATATTTCTCATATTTTCAATCGTCGTGCTTCAGTAATCAGTGAAGAATGTTGGCTTCTTTCGATAGTAAATGATTGGAAAACACCGACATTAAAAGTAACAATAACCGATAAAAATGGTGAAATTAAAGTTTACCAACGACATGGTGATGCGGCTCATAGCCAGGATCATCAGTCACGCTTACCCCTAAAGGTTCGCTTTTTGCAATGGTATTCTCGTTGGTTTCTTCAATGTGCATCCAAATCTGGATCGTTGTCTACGGATGTGTTATGTGTTGTAAATCAACACACCAGTCCATATGTGCTACTGAAACCAACAACGTTCTTAGTAGTCTGCTATATTGCAGTAATGAATTATTTTAAGTTATCTAAAAAATAATCCACTGAACTCGAGTTGTTACCTTTTTCTTCTATTAGAACTGTTGTAATTTTTAATGTGACAAATCTTCAGTTAATAATTGTTTCAGGATGTGAGTGAGAATGTTTCTTTAGCCACATCAATATCGTCATAAATCACTGGATAACAACGCGCCATGGTTTCATTTCAGCATGTTGAAAAGTAAAGCATGATGATGTTCGGTAAGTACTTCCGAGTGTAACAAGGAAATCAACGAATTTTAAAAACAGATATACTTGTATCTTATGGGTGTGTGGGTGTGGGTGTAGAGAAGGGATTATCACACGCACATTCACACACACCCGCACAGCTACAGCCACACTAGAGGAGGACCGTTTATTTTAATTTGAGTTAATTAATAGAATTAATTAAGTGGTATTACTTAACACTTAACATTAAATTAACGTAAAGCTCCACCCTACCCCACACCCACGTGATCAAGGATATTTTGAAAATAGATAGATACAGCAAATAAAGGTAAGGTCGTGAGCAAGCAATCAATGATACAGATTGGTCGGCTTCCATTTGATTTACCTGATAAGCATCTTCAGCAAGAATGAAATGATTATCTTATGCAACTTGGAATTATTCTTATAAACACATTTACACCCGACACCTTACGCTAATGGTCGATGACGAATGTTTTTTCCTTTGCTTAGAAAAACCGATTAATGACTTTGGTGCAAAGCAGATATCTTCTTTCAGTTGATGTTCGAATAAATATTAGGTATGCATATCGTCGAAAAGTTGGGTCGTTGATAATCTTCGTTAACGAATAGTGTATTGTTGGTACAGTCAGTAACTCCTAGCGAGCAAGGCTTAAAATCTTGTACACGAAATCCATGAGATTTTAATAAAATTATTATGTTAGGTGTATTTGAGTTATTTTTGATAAGCAGATAATGCACTTGTATATTCCAATTCATTGTAAGTAGTACTGACAACTCGCCCCCTTCAACATCAAGACTGAAGAGATCAATATGAGTGATTCCAATCGCCGTTAAATATGAACCAATAGGACCACATGGTACATCTACAGTCTTGTTATCATTTTTGTGCCAAGCTTCTTTAAAGTCTGCATCCATAGTATCAATATTTCCAGCGACGAAGCCGGGTCCGCCCTGTAAAAAACAACAATTGTAGCGAATTTGACAAGAATTTCGGATTGTGAGAACTTACGAGCATTCTAATATGGGTTTGTAGAGCCGAACAGATTGCAACAGGCAATTTAACTGTTTTTTCTCGGTCTGCTTTCAGCAGGAGTTTTGCATTTTCTGGCTGTGCTTCAAAGAGCACGCCGCGCCAGTCAAACATCCGCTCAAAAAACAGCGTATTACTAAAAGTGATTCCATTTGCCGCGCCCAATTCTACAAATATGCCCGGATTCTGATTTTCCTTGGTGTTATTGAAGATCCATTTGTGAAATGCTTCATCCTCACGAGACTGTGAGTAGTAACCCGATTTGCCTTCGAAATTTTCGGATTGGCAGGCCCATATTTGTGGATATAAATAACGAAGATAATTCGGAGCCAAGTTAGCTGTTGTTTGTTGCCCATTGCTTTGTGTGATATCAGAGAATATTTTGCTATTTTTTTGTAGCACAGATGCGTAGTTATGACTTGACTTTTCGAAAGACCATGTTATTAAGATTATGACTGTTGAAACTGAGCAAAATATACAAAATAAGTATCTGCTTATCCAGCGCATCTAAAATAGTTCTAAAAATAAATTATTTCTTACTTTAGCAGCAGAAGATAGTTTTATTCATAATTCCCATCTTTTGTCAATTGAGGTTTTTCAGCATCATGTACCTATGAGCACTTTTAGAACCATGCAGTTTCTGACATATTTCTTTTTCTTCAGAAAAGCACTGTAAACAAAAGCGTAAAATCATAGAATGCTTTATTGCGCGTATTTCGAAAACGGAATTTAACATTCGTCTAACGCTCGATAAGCAACTCAGAAGAGTTTATGGAGTCTGCTTTTCCACTCATATATTCTCTCTCGTAGTCACTGACGTGTTTATGAAATTCATGTATAAAGCGAATCATACGTAACAAGGTGGATTGTGAGTATGGGTATGAGTATGATTAGTTGAATACGTGAAGAGAAGAACTATAAGGACACCGACAGTCACATCCACATTGACATCGACATGTAGATCAGTATCCATAATTGCAGTCACACTTACACTCACTCTCATGCATACATTCAATATTGATGTTCCCTCTACTGAAAGGAGGGTATTACGAAAAACGAGTTAAATGGATTCGTTCGTTCGTCTAATAGGAAAGCAGATGCATAAACTTAACAAACCGCAAACAATATCTGTAGTGATAGGCTTCACCGACGGTAATAGGGGTCGGAGAAGACGATGGCGTTGTTAGTCTTTTGAAATTGTCCTTTTTCCTTTTTTTGAGGAGAGGCAGAGAGACTTTTTTTAGAAAAAAAAATTTTTTTTTTTATACGAGTCGATCGAAGGTAATCGAGGTCCGGAACACGATGGCGTTCCTAGTTTTTTTAATTTTCCTTTTTCTTTTTTTTGAGGAGAGACAGAGAGACTTTTTTTAGAAAATAATAGTTTTTTTTATAAGAGTCGACCGAAGGTAATCGAGGTCGAGAACACGATGGCGTTGTTAGTTTTTTTAATTTTCCTTTTTCCTTTTTTTGAGGAGAAACAGAGAGACTTTTTTAGAAAAAAAAATAGTTTTTTTATAAGAGTTGACTGAAGGTAATCGGGGTTGAGGAACTCTAATCTGGTGTCAGATTTTCAGAATGTATGATCCTCAACTTTTTTAGTGAAAAAAGTATTTTTTTGAGAAAATAGTTTTCCTCGTGAAGTTTGATCAGATGCTGTCGGGTTCGAAGAAGTCGAATCGACGGTCAGATTTTTGAAGTTTCGCTTTCTACTTTTTTTTATGGAGAGAAAGAGAGTTTTTTAGGAAAAAATGACTTCGTTTAAAGTTTGACCGCAAGTTTTTGACGCGAAGTCATTCGATTTTAAGTGTAATCTTTCAAAAACATTTTCTCATCGTTTTGATAAATAAAGAGAGTTGCAGAGAGGTCTATTGCACAGAATGAACACACGAGCTTTTTGAAAAAGTAAAATGAAGTGACCAGCAACTGACGAGTGAGTGGTATTTCGAAAGCGTTTAGGAGCACCACAACAACGCTATTAGTGGTTATGATCCTAAACAAATAAATAAAGTTGATTCATATAAGGTAGCGGCTGTCGCTGGATCGAATATTAAATACTTAATAATCTTTCATAGTTCAAGCTAGTTTATAATGCATTAGGAGCTGTTTAGATCATCGTATTTTCGTGATAGGAATTCTTTGTCGGCAAATTTTTTAAGGATATCATTCGATGATGTTGATATTGGTATATATATATCGTATGCTTATATTGGATTTTATTACGAATCGGCTATAGGCATCTTGCGGTGGAGTTGATTCTTAATTTGGCAACGGCTATTCGTGATTGGCGCCCCAGAGGGGCGTCGACGAGCGACTATAGCCCCTCAGTTAAAAATCTGTTGTGATTATAAGACTACAGGCCTTGCAGAATTATTGAATAGTTACACGTTGTCTCCATCAGAAAAGTTGAAACAATTTTCGAAAATAGGAGATATCTTGAAGTTCTTCCGAAGACAGGTCGTGAAATAATTGCTCAAGTCGTGTGAAATATTTGAAATTCATATTTGTCGTAATTATCTTAATAAGTTTAGTTTTTCCTGATTGCGAGTGGATTTGATTCAAAAGAGGTAAATCTTAGATTTATCTATCTGTGAAAGTGCACCCGTGAATGAATATATGCATTCTAGATGGAAAGCGCTCCGAAGCAAAATGAATCCAGATGGATTTGAGCAAAAATGAGGATAAAGCTAACCAAAATCGATTATAAACGATGTTTTCTGCATCATTTTTAATCGATTACAATCGAAATTAATGAGAATAATTAACGAAACTTTGATTTTTTGGATTCTTTTTGATTAAGGTCGATGAAAAATCGACTAATAATCGATGAAAGGTGTATGATTATAATCGATTTTCATCTGATTATTGCCCTCATCTTTTTTACAAGGGTACCTCCGTATTGTCTGCTCAATTCTAAATTCTTATCGCTCATCATTGGGTCATCATCATTGTATTGATGGTGAGCTTCTGCCTATGATGCTCGAACGGCAACATTAAAAAGAATATACTTGAGAAAAACCTCAATGATAAGCAATTTCAAAAGATGAAAAGCCAGCAGAGAATAGTGTTGAAGCAGCACTTCATTTTTCTATACTCTCGCCGGAGCAACCAGAAGAACTCACGCTTGACGTATTTCAAAAAAAGTAAGCTAAAAGCTACACTAACGAACATATAAACGATGATGGATCTTACCCATGGTGTAAAAAATTGAAGGAAACGAGTCACGTAACGCGTTTCTTCAAGACAAAATTCCTTTCGCAGCATTTTATTGAGATAGAATGCGTTTCGCTACGTTGATTTTTTCGAAGCAATCCGAAAAGTTTCTTCTACATTGCGTTTCGAACCGTTTTTGAATTGAAACGCTGTGAAACGCATTTCAGCCTGCAGACAACGCGTTTTAGAGTCACAATTTAAAGAAAATGTGCAATGCGTTTCTGTTCCAAACGCGTTTTGCATCATTTCAATTAGAAATGATACAAAATGCATCCATCCTGTTACAGCAATTTTCATATGCAATGGATGTGAGTTGAGCAAAAATTAATTCCTTTCCTTTATGTCACGTATTACGAATTACGTAATAGAAATAAGAGTGGTCAAGGTCAATAATGTATTTTATTGACTCGAAAAACAGAAACAGAATAACAAGATGAAAGAAAGAAACGAACGGAACGAGTAGCTGGAATGTAGTAACTGGAACGTAGTACTGACTACTTGTACATGAAACTATACATATATCTATCTATCTATCTATCTATCTATATATGTATAGACGCAATAGAACAATTCGCAGAACGAAAGAATACAAGTAGATGAGATGAAAGCACACGATAGAGAAAACAACAACGAAATCGCACTACATCACACGTTATTTTGGAAACGATGTGAAATGATTTATAGAAGGTTTTCTAGTCGAATGGTTTTAAAACATGAGCATCGTGATGCAAATCTTCTGTATGCAAGATCAGAACCGCAGTCTTCTAAAACCTAATGATTTTAAGCCGTTCTATAAAGCGAATTCGAACTTGGACTATTACTGAACACCAGAGTATAACAAGAGTACTTGCTTTCCCTTAGAAAAATCATTTCGCTGGGCTTTCACCGAAATAAAATGCATTTCGTAGCGTTCAATGAAGAGCTGCTTTCAATATTGAGCAGTTAGAAGATATTCAGTAACGGCTAATACAAAGATAATACTTATGAAATTGCTTTATTTTGTTGGCGTGTGAAAAAAAGAATTTTCGTGTAATCTAAGATTTTAATAATAATTACTGTGAATCATATATAGATGATTACCGATACTGACTAATGATACTACCTATCAAGCGACTAAAATATGATTTTGGTTCGTATGATATTGATGTAACTGGGCTTTAATTACAGAAGAAACTTTCTTTCTTTTATCAATGTCATTGAGTTGAAGGATGCTGAATTCATACTCACAAAAAATCAATAAATCAGAAAATAAAACGCAAACATTTTTAAGGTCGATTCTTTTTAATTCATATTTGATGGATCCAATTTTTCTAAAATATTAAATCCAATTTAGATTCGATTAAATTTGTTTCAATGGGATGTCTCTAATCCACTCTCCCCCGACGACTCTCCGCAAAATAACGAAATCCCTGGCGATTCCCTGTCGTGAGTCCCCGCGGATTTGTCAAGGGACTCCCTGGGGATTCTTCGAGGGAGAGTTGACTAAGATGTACTCAAATTTAAATTTCAAAGAATATAAAAATAAAGTAAATCAAGGGGAATATGACAACAATAATTGGATTTAAGTATCAAGTAAGTAATAATTTTTAATTTATCGATATGAGAAACCGAAAATCTATTTCAATAACAAGTTTATGCGGGAGTCAGAATAGCAAGACAATAAATAGAGATATCATTTGGCTATTTTAGTTGAACGGTTTGTGTTCGTGTCTTTTAGTATTTTGTTCTCGTGTTCGAATCCATCTCTTAACTTTATCGAAGCTTATGTAAATTATAGTTCTAGAGTTCTATGAATCAATGTAAACGAGTATATGGATCGTATATACAACTCAAGTTCTATAAAGTACTTGATGGTTTTCAATTTTTTTTCATCCAAAATATACGATACCACAGTTTCGGAAACAGTACAAAATGCTGTCAAGAAATGATCGTTTCGCAACGTTTGCTTTGTCTGATGTGGAATGCGTTAAACCGGCCAGCATTAACGCGTCTCGCAGCTATGGGAAAATGAATTCTCAGCACGGGTTTTTTTCGAAGAAATTTACGCCATGGGTACGAAATTATGGTTTTACATAAACCAATGGCTGATTGAAGGCGAAGATATAATCCAGACATCCGAACAGAAAGTAGTACAATACCATCGCTCAATACAATGATCGTACAGTTCTAGAATGGTGCTGTCAGTGTTCCTCTGTGTAACACTCTCTGTTAAGTGCATTCCCATATAAAAATACAGGGAAAATCAGAATAAAATCTATTACCGTTTTGACTAAAATTCGATTTTAATTAACTAAAAT